GCCACCACTGCCCATTACTATACTCGTCCTATATAGAGAGATCCACTCCATGTCTTCTGTTCTTCCAGAGAACCCAGACTAATACAACTCCCATGAAAGTTTTCCTCTGATCTCCACACACATGCCATGGCACATAAATATATACACACATATAATAAACAAAGAAATGAAAACTACAAAACAATGAACTTTATTTAAAAATGAGTCTAGAAAGAGAAAGTTTTTGTCTCTTCTTTAGGGCCATAAAAAGTGAACTCATTTTTTCCTACAATTAAATTAGAGAGTATTATCTGTATCCCCATTTTGCACCAAGATAAAAGCATTACTAAATATTAAAGATTATGAGTTTCTTCAAGCATCCCCATACTTCTTGGAATTTAACATTTTAATTTATTTATACCTCCCTCTTCACTTTCTCTCTGTGTGTGTTTTGTGCATGTACATGCATGTGTGGAGGTCAGAAGACAACCTGGGGGTGTTGGTTCTTTTCTTTCACCATGTGGCTTCTGAGGATGGCACTAAGATTACCAGTCAGATTATCAGGCTTGGCAAGAAGCTCCTTTACCCAGTGAGCTGTCTTGCTGCCCTCCCTCCCTCTGTACCAGAGCTCCGACCTGGGGTTTTATATATTTATAAATCCTGTTATATTACAAAACTCCAAAGCATTCCTTATAAGCCAATAGGAACCAAGATTTATTGAGCACCTATTATATAATATCAAAGTGTGTATGCTATTTCTGATCTTTATTTTTAAATAACCCACCAGGCCTTTAATGATAATTAACCCTTTTTCATCCTTTACAGTCACTACAACTAAGATTTGGCACATATCAGTAGGGATATAATGATTGACACATAGTAACAGTCACTAGACACTAATTTCCTATCTTACATTCAGTAGAATTTTAGAGGACTTTGGCTCAAGTGTTCAACTTTTGTCTTTTCCCCCCTTTCAGCTTCATTTAATCAACCGAAGGAAATCTTTTGGCTCCTGGTAAAACTACATTTTCCAGCTTTGTATTAACTATAAATTTTGGTTCTTAAAGTCATTCAAAAGAATCCTAAAGGATTAAAGATAGAGGACTTAATTTCTTTCAAAACTTCAGACTATCCTGAATCATGCTTTTAAAAATGTTATTATTGTTGTTGTTGTTGTTACTATTACAGTTTGGAGGTCTGCTGCTTCCAGGAAAGAAGCACCATTTCCATAAGAAGACTGGCACCTGGAAGCTGAGTTTTACTTCCAACTGAAGGCCACAAAAATGCAGCTCTATCATAAGTTTTACATGTAATGTTTCTCTTGCAGTCATTGTAAGATTACCAGCTCAGTTAAAGAAAAGGGAAAGAAAGAGGCCCCTGGCTGATTAGTAGTAGGGTTACTAATGGCAGCTGTCATTCTCTCCTGAGATCTAGTACAGGAAAGCATCTATTTGGGGGACATGGTTTAGTAAGTGGACATTTGAGGTTTGTACCTTGTCATTTGGGATGAGCCACTGTCACTCAGACCCTTCAAGCACTAGCTTTGCCATTCTGGCCAGTCTCCTTGGCCTTGCACTTCTCTCCACGAGGGTGCACTAATGGAACTGGTCTTAGTGGTTCTGGAACTTAGCAGCAGATGCTGGTACCTGCAGACAGACAGTCCTGCTCAAGAAGGGAAGATGGGGCGAATTTTACATTTGTCCTCTTAAAGGGTAAAGACCAGCCTGATATGTTTTATAACTCTTGGGACTGAACCAAGTGCTCTAACTCTAAACCAAAGGGTAGACAGACAGAGAGACAGACAAACAGACAGACAGACACACACATACACACACACACACACACACTTTTTTAAAGGTAAAATCATGACACTCATACAAATAAACATATATCAAATATTTTGTTCAACTCATTAATTAATAACACAACCAATAAAAAGTTACAAGTAGTACAGAGTGATGGGGAATCTCCTTTAGCCAATGACCTTTAAGAGACTGGACCAGCTTGGGGCATGACTGTTTGGGTACCTAGAGAGAACTGCCAGCCCGCCCAGCTCTTCCTGTTCCTGTTCCACGAGTTTCCCCCTTGCAATAAAGAATAATATTGGAATCTTTTAGAGTTAGCTTGGGATTATCTGACTCGTGTCCCCCCCACCCTGCCCCATGCCTTTTATGCTTTCAGCTACAACAAAGGAAGAGTAGTACCCATAAATGAAGAATAGGTCTGTATTCCACAAGATAATACAGATTAGATTGTATGCCCATAAAGGCAATCTTTTTTTGTGCGTGTGTTTGTGTCATTTATTTTATTTTTTTATTTATTTTTTTTAAAGTTTATTAAAATATAAAAGTTTCCATTTTCGCCCCTCCTCCCAACACCCTCCCACTCGCCCCACTCCCTCTCCTCTTCCCTCTCCATCCCTAAGAGCAGTCCGGGTTTCCTGTTCTGTGGGTAGTTCAAGTTCCTCCCCGCTCCCTCCAGGTCCAGGAAGGTGAGTATCCAAACAGACTGGATCCCCAAAAATTCAGAATATGCAGAGGAAACAAGTCCCAGAGTCATTGTCAATGGCTTTTTAGAAAGACTTCGGGTCAGCCACATTCAGGGAATCCAGCCTCCTCCAGAGAATCTGGTTGGATCAAACGCTCCTTCAGTCTCAGTCAACTGGCCTTGGTGAACCATAAAGGCAATCTTCTATGTTACTATATTACACACGAAGCTGTGACTGTTTCCCAGAGACATAAAAAGTGCCAGGCCTTACAGAATCATATAAGTTGTATGAG